TGGCTGAGATTTTTTAAAAGTAAGTAAATGTAGATACAATAGTATGCCAATAAATTTGATAATCTGGATGAAATGCTTAATTATGTGGGGAAATACATGAAACTGAGTCAAAGGAGAGCCAGAAAGATCAATATTGATCAATAACTGTTGAAGAAACCATAAAACTAGCAATCTATTCCTAAAAATGGCCTGTGCCAGCTAGTTTATAAACATTCTCCTAAATCTTCTAGAAGCAAATGAGTTCCTTGGTCATATAAAGTGCTAGGGCAGAAGAACAGAAGTATCTCAACTCTTCCTGAGCGGTTAACATAGCTCTAATCCCCACGCCAGGTGAGACTAGAGTCGTACACCAAGCTCATTTACAAACAGTGCTGTACAGAGCCTAACAGTAATATTAGCTAATTAAATCTAGTGTTATTAAAGCATAATGCATCAGAACTAAGAAATTTTATATTTTGATCAGATCACGATTAAGAACATTTAAGAATTTTGTTTTTGTTTTGTTTGTTATTGATCTTGGTTTTTTTTTCCTTTTTTTTTTTTTTTGCATTTTTTTCTATGCTAGAGGATGGTAGAAGACAATTCTAGTGTTCTAGTTTGACCCCACCCTGAGACAGAGACGTATCAATTAGGTGATTGATGTTTTTAGATGTTTTAATCTCAAAAAGTTCAACAATAGTGATAAAGATACAATATTCCAGGTTAGTTAAGGCAAAATTATAAAATAAATTCAGTCTTGGGAATTCCCCATCTCCCCTTTGTGCTCTCTTTTCCTTTTCTGTCACCTTTGGGCCTGCCTGGGCCAGCCCTGGGTCCTCAGGTCTTCAGCTTCTGCAGGCCAGGACAGAGCATGTACAAGTAAGAACCACTGCCCTCTATCAGTTTGCCAGCAAACTTTCAGCCGTGGATCCGTGCCCCTGCAAGCTCCCTGCAGGAAACACAGGTCCATGAACCTTTCTCTGGAGGTTCTCAGAAAGCCCACACTCATGTCGTCCTCCCCCCAGCCTCACACTGACATCTGTTGCTTAGCAAAGCCTGATACTCTTTATTGCAGGCCTCAGAAGAGTTTTCATCTGAAATATGATCTCTAAATGTGCACTGAAATCCAGGCATCAGAAGAATGAGCAGGTCAGGTGTTTAAGGAATTGAATTTGCTGCCTAGTTTCTTGATTCTTCTACACACTGAGCTCAGATATCACTTCGATTCTCCTTATTTTGTGGCCAGCTAAGTGCATGAGGTAATAATCGCTTTCACACCATAGCCATCCCCAGTTGGAAGACTTAATGTAAAGACTCAGCCAAAATCCCACCTCTGCCCTCCACTTCTTTCTCCAAGGAACCTTGATTTTCTTGTCAAGTCAGGCTCTGTTTCCTTAGCTCAGACCACAGTGTGGCTGCCTCTCATCTTCAGAGCAGACAGAGTCTGTGTGGGCATCAAGGGCATTAATAATGTGCAAATGGCAACTTGGGCAAATCTAGGATTATGCAAAAGCAGGTTTCCATGAAAATGTGATTGAGTGGGACACACCTCCACCGTGAGGCCCTTCCAGAGGTCCTAACCACAGCCCACAACCCAAACAGAACACAGATGGATTCTGATTAGCATGTGCTCTTTTTAAGTGTTTGACTTCTAATGCCCATGAAGCCATTTTAATTTGCAATCTTTGCCTTCCTTTCCTCCTAGGCTCTCACCCCAGAAGTAAACAAATATAAAGCAAATAGGTACTATATCATCATCTTCCATCGCCTCGTTTCTTCCCAATGTTTAAACAAGACAGAAAAGTAATTGAATTCCAGTTATGGCTGTCCTTCTCATTTTGTTGTGTAACTGTGCTTTTGAGGATTCTAGGTATGAAAGTCAAGCAGGATGGCCCTAATCAAACTAGAAAGGGTTGTTTTAAAAGATATTTTAGAAGCACAGATAACAGAGTCCATGGGAAACCTAAATGGTGAAGGTCTGGAGCAAAGTTGACTGCATTTAAGGTTGGTGTAAGAAAGTTCACCAGAGAAACACAGGCGGAGATGATAGCTATTGAGTTAATGCTTGTAATGGTTAGTCTTTCATTGACTTTTCAGGTCTAACACTGGTAGTTTGATGATTTATTTAAAGGATAACAGTACACAGTGTAGCATTTTTGGGTGATCTCCTTCTGAAGTGGTAGACATTGTTAATTCCCTATTATTTTGTTTTAAAGTCCTGTATCAGTTTCATTTTTTTGTTTGGTTTGTTTTTATTATATTTGGTCTTGTTTGATTTTATTATATCTGATGACATGAGCATCTATTTCAAAGATAACAAGATATATTATGGTAGCCCTTTTGGACTTGCTATTATCTTGCTTTGAAGTCCTGTATTGCATTCATTGTTTTGTTTTTATGTTTTAATGTTTGAATTCTGTTCTGTTTTGTTTTATTTTACTGTGTTTGACAGTATGGACAGCTATTTTGAAGACATCAAGAGGCATTATGCTAGCCATTGTTGATCATCTGTTATCTTGTTTTGAAATCCTATATCACTTACACTGTTTTGTTTTGATTGGCTTTACTTTACTCTGTTTTATTTTGCTTTGTTTTTTATTCTCTTTAACATAAAAAATTATTAACAAAAATAAAAAAGGAATGCTCACTCTACCCTAACCCTCATCCGCAAGGACCTCGGTCTGTGTTTGCACATATGCAGGGCTCCTGGTGGAGCAGGGACCCAGTAAGTTCCTGTTGTCACAGGGCAAGCACCCACACAGACATAACTGGTTATTTTTTTTCTGTGTGACACATTGGCATCACCGAGGTGACTGAATGAGAGATGCTACAGAGGCAAGATGGGCAAAAAGCCAGTAAGCCAGCATGTAAATTTGGAGAGTCAGGATGTCCTAGCTAGATGGTCAGATGGCTTGTTTTATCTTGGAATTATCAAAAAGGTAAATATATTGAAACAGAGCTGCTTCAACATATATGAAGACAGTGCTAAATCCCAGTTCTCCAGAATGGCATTCAAACAGATGGAATAGTACACAGCTATCAAAAGGTATAATTTTGAAACCATGTACAATCCTTTTGATAGAAGAAATATCAGTATTGATGAAAGGAAGCCTGTCACAATGGAGGGAACATGGATTCGGGCACAACTGGCACATCAGTTAACTTAGTACTTTCCTCTACTTAGTAATCTTTTGTGTTCTTTAGTAAAGTTTTGTCTTTTTTCATGATGAGGTTCTTTAGCAATTTTTCTGAAGCTGATAAAAAGAAATGCTGTGATACTCTTTAATACAAATTCTTTATATCTCAATTATTATGCAAACCTTTATTCCAGAATCATCTTATAGCTTGTTCTTGGCTGGGAACTAATGATATTTAGCCATGTTGCTTTTGTTCCCATGGTTGGAGAATGTTAGTCACCTTTCCAGTCCCTGAGATAAAATACCTGACATTTGTAACTTAAAGGACAGGAGAGGTTTGTTTTGGCTCATGGTTCCAGTGCGTTGAGTTCACGGTAAGCCAGCAGGAACAGCCTGATGAGAGGTCCTGGCAGAGAAAATTTGCTCTCATCATGACATCTAGGAAGCAGGGGACAGGAGGAGCTACTTCTAGGTCAGACCTGGCCTCTTTCAACCAGGAACTATCTTCAAACAGCACAGTCAGCTCTGAATTTATCAATAAACTAATCCATTAAAGAGTTTAGCTCCCCTATGAGGCCATAACCTTCCAAAAGACTTTGAGGAAACATTTTGGATTTAAGCCAGGCTGAGATGTCCCTTTCCTGCATCAGGGACTCCTTAATAAGTCTTATTCTTCCCTGGGACACTTGTTCCTTGGCCCTCCCTTGCATTCTGAGCTTTTTCTTGTTGAATTCTGCTTCCAAAATGCTACATGATGCTTCTCTCTCCCAAAGCTAAATTCTTTTTCTCTATAAAAACAATATTCCATAAAACAATATACCATACCAGTATACCAATATAAAAACAGTATACCATAAAGTGGCAAAGGAAGGGCTATAGTAAACCCTTTTCAGTGAAAACAGTTTTACTTTTTATTTAGAGTGCAATGCAAAAACTAATCCTCTGCTGCACAGTAAATATGGATGCCACAGTGCTTCCTGTGTACCCACTAAGGATTCCTCCCAGAAACAAACCCAGGCCTTTGTTGAGAAATAGTAGGTGCACACAAATAATACTGCTCATGTCTTTCTTTTAATGTCAGGAAATTTTAGTTTATGTGAGGAATTTTTTCATGTTATAAAAATAGAGAGTATACCCAATGGCTAGCTCATAGTATCAATTGTTAGTAATGACACCGTCTCTAGAACGAGTCCCAGCTCCTTCCTTCTTGTCAATGGCCAGGTCTCCTCCAGGTACTAATTCTTTATGCCTTCCTCTTCACTTTCTTCCCTGTTATTCTTCACACCAAATACATTTCTCCTTAGATGACCAGTTGTCCACTTTCCCCTTGTTACAACCTGGGTACACAGCTAAGCTTAAGGAAGCTCAAGGTCCTGAGAGGTCTAGAGGGTCAGAGACATCACAGGGTCAAAATGCTTGGGTGTCAATCGTCGAGGAGTGAGTTAGAGTGACGGTTACATCACACAAACGTGTGCATACACACATCGTAGGGCCCTTTACTAAAGGGCATCCTGATTAGCTATTTCTAACACAATTTCTCAACTCATAGTTTACGTTTATGGCTTATGGATTTTAGTAAGTGCCACAAGCCTTAATTTCAAAACTGAAATGACACAAGAGGACATTTTCCTTGGTCTCTGCTTTCTCTTTGCTGTTACAATCCATGCAATTATCCCATGTGGTCTTTGGCGGTGAGTGAGGCCACCCCCTTTTAGTGAGCTGAAGAGCCCTCCTGTTGGGTCCTTGCTAAGTGTGCTTGCCATGTGGTTAAGAATATACTTTGTAGCTATTAAATTAGAGTCTATGTTCACATGTGGTCTCATTGATTTAATTTCTCTTGCAGGGAAAATGTATTGCTAATGATCACCTTGTCTCAAATTGCAGATTACGGTATTTCGGATGGGATCAGAAGGACACCAGGACATTGATTTAGCTATCCTGACAGCTTTGCTCAAAGGTAAAAGAGTTTCTGTGTCCACAGAGTGCAAACTTAATTGAAACGAATTAACAAAGCAACGTATGTCTCCTATTAGCGGTTATAATCCCAAATGATTCCATGACAGCCATGGATAATGATAACATAGGACCTGTTCTGGAAGTTACTCTGATGCTATTGAATTCTTCTGGTGTACATCTGTTTCAGTGTGACTCAATTTTACAATATTTAAACACACCACAATTCAAGGCATGTCCACTGAACCATAAAAATTTATGAAGAAAATGCTGACATAAATTATTTGAAATTACTTAATAGTAACTAGCCTGTTTACTTTTCTTTTAAAAACCATTTTCTATGGGATATGTATGTACAACATGCGTATATAATATTAAAAATTGAAAATCAAAATTCATTGAGAGACCAGGAGAAATAAACCAAAGAAATTAAGCACTATATTTCTTATAGTTGAGTACTGAATTTCAGGTTATAGATAGAATACTCTGGGTTCTGGGAATTTAACGTCTAAAATGGATATCTAGCCTGCTCACTTGTCCTGAAGAGAGTTCATTTTCTGTCCTCATTTTGGGGGCCATGTCCAAAAGAAGCACAGTTCCCTTCCATTTCTGCATATCAAACCCCATCTTTATGCATCTTAATGTCACATTTGACTAATAATTCTCAATATTAAATGAAAGAAAGTTGCCTCTTTTTTACTTCTATAATTCAGGCTGGAAATCTGAGACAAAATAAAAGCACAAACCCTCTGAATGCAGTTCTTGGTTAGAAACATCTCATGGGTCCCTCAGCCTCCCCCAGCCCTTCTCCCTAGGCTGGTCAGCCCTGTGCGCAATCTCCCTGGATTACAAACTCTGTGAGAGCAGAGAATGCACCTTGTTTATGGCTTTACTCTCAGTGCCTCACACAATCTCCAGTTCATAGCAGCACACAATTGATTTTTGTTGAATAAAGAAATTGATGGATTACTCAATGATTTAGTGATAGATTTAGCATTCCAAAATTAATACTCAGAAAAACATCTGTTTCATTCTACTTTCCTGTCTACTCACCCCTCTCCTGCTACTATTTCCTTGAGGACCTATCATATGGTAGCCTCTGTGCTGAGGTCTTTACAGCTTCTGTGGACATTAATTGTTACTCTAAGACGTGGGAGACACTCTTAATCCCATTTTATAAATGGGGTAAGTAGTGCCACAATAGGTTTAGTAGCTTGACAAAGGTCATAGTGCTAATTAATAAGCTTAGCGTTAGGTCATAGCTAGCCCAGCTTGTCACTGTACCACATCTGACCCCTGAGACAACAGTGGTCGTCAGTGCTCTCCACCCACTCCCCCAAATATACGCACACATGCATTCAAAATCCTGATCACACTTCAGAATACTCACAGTCTCGTGAGACATAGCCAGGATCCCAAGTTGAGGCCCGCTACTCTAAACTATTTCATTTCAGTGAACTAGCAAATACAAAAACTGGGCAAATGAATTAAAGGACCAGGGACCATGCATGAACTGAACCCCAAAATACATTCTGGGCTTCACTAATCCTTTATTAAGGACAGAAAGTTTGAGGCAAGTTATTCTCTGATATTTGTTATTCTCCTATAAAGGTAAGAAAATTAATGTTGCTAACTTTAACATTTATTTATGTCAAATATCATGTTAGATGCATTCTAAATAAACACATTTATCCTTTACAACAGTTCAACTACCAGTGCATTATAAACTCTGATTTGTAGGTAAAGAAACTGAGACATAATGCAATTAATAAATGTGCCGGAGATGAACTGGCTGGTATACAGTACAAACAGTCCAGCCCTATAGTCGTCACCGATACATCCCACCACCACAGCCCGTCTCTTTGATAAGAAATGACTCACTACATTACACCCTGAACAAACCTCATAACAAGCAGTGCATTTAATCCCAGCACTCAGGAAGCTGAAGCAGGAGGATTGTCATGAGTTTGAGGCCAGTGTGGACTACATAGTGAGACCTGGTCTCCAAAAACCAAAAAACGAACAGAAAAATCTCGTAGCAAATGGGAAAGTTATTTAGTCATCGATAAAAACATAGTGGCAATCATCTTCTAATGAAATTTTTTCTTTCGCTTTCACCAATTTGTAAGACTTTAAACTAGACTTTGCCTTAGGATCAGTCTTCAAACTCATTTTTGTATTGTAGAATAATTCCCACCGTTTTCGAGTAGGACATGTCAAAAAATGTTCTAACACCATAACCAAACAGTTACATCAGCACCTATAAAATTAAAGTACTCAAAACAATATTTACAGGGACAATTATGCAGTGAATTGAATATTTTCTAATCTACTTCATTCTCTTAAATGCTGATTGTAGCCCAATAAATTGATTTCATGACCCATTAATGGGTCATAACCTACAGTTTAAAAAATACTATGCTAGAAAATAAAAAGAAATTATAATTGCTCTGAGAAATTAACATTTGTAATCAGCATAATGAGCATTATGCAGCAGTTGTGGCTAATGGGAATTTATGCATAAAAGATTATGGTGCGTCAACTGCATTTTGCAAAGGCTTTTAAAGGCTCTCAGACATTGACTCAGTTGATTTGTGAGATGCATCAAACATAATACTTTTGCTGATTGCTTTGGAGGCCAAGTGCATACATCCCTCTAGCAGCTTCAGATCCTTAAGGTTTTTATATTACCCTATGTGTTTTACCTGGACATGTAGGGTGGTGTAACACCTCATTTTTACAGTGATATTTAATTTTCAATCATCCAGTGCACAGGGAATCATTGTAAACCTCGGTTTTTATTCTGAGACCTTGAAGATATTTCTGAGAAAACCAGCAGTTAGAGAGGATAAGGTGAGCCCTAAAGTTAACCACTAGTCCAAGAATCCAGAAGCCAAAATTAACTTTAAAAGACAGATGGAAAATCAAATGACTTTGGGGAAATAAAATTTTGCTGTTACTGGTTTCAAATCCTATTGGATTGGATTTTTTTGGACCTGTCTGTTAGGGAATATAGCAGGAAACAAAAAACAATATTCTCCCAATGATGTAAGGGTCAGAGTCCCTTCAAAGGGTACCCTGGGTATCTTTGGAGAGTAAGCCATGTCCCAATTGCCACCCCCACCCCCCCACCAACCCCCCCCCCCGCACACTTGCACAGGGTGGCATACACAGTTAACTGAATTCTGCAATAAACGACAAGTAGCCTGAGTAGGAAAACAATTGGTTCACCCACCATTTATCTGAAATTCAAGCTTCACTTGGAGAGCTGCATTTTATTTGCTAGACCAAGCTACCTTACTCGGATAAGGTCTGACACCATTAACACTTCTAGAATTAAGACACCAGGAGAGGCCCCACAAGAAGAGTAACTCAAAAACCTAGGGACGTCCCCCAGTCCCTCTCCCGGCCTCCTCTTCTCAGCCAGACCTGTCTAAATCACAGCACCCTTCCAGGATGTCCACTGCAGAAGGCACCAGGCTTGTTATTCATGTCACACCAGGGACTCAGCAATCTGATCTCTGTCGCAGTAATGTCATCTGGTCTGTGTTCCCCACGCAACATAAGCCTCTGGCTCCACAAAAAAAAAATCTGCTCACAACAAATGAAGGATCCCTGGACCCTTTTGAGAAAACCCTCCCCCAGTGGTTTCACCTTTTCTTGTGTATCTGGGATCCATAAATGGAGAAATCATGTGAGCAGAGACTCTTCCATTCATCCCCATGCTGAGAAGTGGGATGGTGTCCAGCTCTCTCTTCCTCAATCGAGCAACTGTTTCTTTGGGTTTAATTTTTGTTGGTAAAGGAGTTTACAGGAGGCGTGAGGGAAAGGTAACCTGTACGATGGACCTCTTTTTCAGTAATGCATTTTAAAGGAGCTGAAAGAGGGTGCAAAATTCAGTAAGTAGCTCCTCAAAGCTGTTGAGGTCATCAAAAACAAGGCAAGTCTGAGAAACTGTCAAAGCCAGAGAAGGTTAAGGACTTGCAATGATTACATGGAAGGTGCTTTCCAGGAACAAAAACACAGGCACTAGGTTAAGAGCTCAGAAAATCTGAATAAAATATGAATTGTGGTTTTTTTTAATATTAAGGAAAAAATAAGAAAGACATACTTTCATATATTATGGTATAAGCAGAAAATGTATTGAAATCAAAAACCTTCATAATTCTTTCACGTTAAAAAGACAAAAAAGGATGTAATCATTTATAGAATTAATTAGTCAGGTCGAGTATACATTCAGAGGACCATGACAGACACAAACAGTATTGATATGAAGAATCTCTAGAAATCACATAATAGCTGATCACTATTGATCCAGAAAATAACTAAAAATACCAGTGAGGTACACAAGTAGGAAGCATATGAACACTGAAATAAAAGAAAACAATTTCTACAAAATCAAATTTTTCAGTGTACTTTTATAATAATTTTAGAGATAATTATCTAAAATAGGTCTTGTGATTTTATTTTATGCTTTTCTATTCCTCGGTTATAATTAATGCTATCAATAATTAATCAACTGGGTAATTACTTTTAGATACATGGAGGACAACTTCTTTCTTCCTAGATATCCATGTATAAACTTGCTCAAAGATGTAGAAAAATTTTCAGATAAAAACTGATATGCCAGCAAGGTGTGATGGTGCATGCCTGTAACCTCAGGTGGGTGAGAGGCTGAGACAGGAGGATTGCTGTGAGTTGGAGGCCAACCTTCACTATATAGTGAGATGCAGTTGCAAAAAGAGTAAATATAGCAAGCAAGCAAGAAAGAAAGAAATCAGAAGAATAGCCAACAGTCTAATGACTCTAGAAAAGCCTTAAGAAAGCATACTTCCTATTTGATTAAATAATGCAAAACAATAAAAAACCACTGTATTCTAACCTATCATCCTTTAAAATTATCTCTTGGGTGGGGAGTAACTTGAAACACATGAGGATCAAATCTTTTTAAAATACACTATGTAACCTGGCCATGGTGGTGTGTGCCTGTAGTCCCAGAATTTG